TGTTTAGGCAATAAGATAGGGTCTCACTGTGACCTTCCTTGGACAGAAATTCTCTGTAGATCAGGATGACGTGGAACTCATAGAGATTTGCCAATCCTCTGCATCCTGAGTGCTAGAATAAAGTTGTATGCCACAATGCCTGGCTTTTTGATCTTTTTAAACAATCAACATTTATTTCCTCTTCATTTATTGTTTCTATAAACTCTAGTAGTTTTTCCTCAGTCTTTTCTAGCTTCTTGAGGTGTAAAATTGAATTACATCTTTATATATATTTATTATGTGTGTATATATGTGTATATATATACACATTCTCTCCCCCCTCTCCTCCCAGTCCTTCCCTCCACCCCATTTGTTCCCACCCCCTCCAATCCACTTCTCTTCCATTTCTGTTTAAGAAATGACAGGTATCCTACAAGTATCAGCAAAACATGGCATATCAAGTTTAAGTAAGTCTGAGCACCTCCCCATGTATTAAGGCTGGGCAGGATGACCCAGTATGGAGAGTAGGGTCTCAAAAGCCAGTTTAAAGAGTCAGAGCAGCAGCCTCTGCTCTCACTGTTAGGAGTCCCACAGGAAGACCAACCCACACAATTGTAGCATATATTCAAAGTGCCTCCATCAGTCCCGTGCAGGCTCCCTAGTTGCTGGTTCAGTCTGTGAGCTCTATGAGCCCAGGTTAGTTGAGTCTGTGAGTTTTCTTGTGGTGTCCTTGACCCCTCTGGCTCCCACAATCATTTCTCCCCTTCTTCAGCAGGATTCCCTGAACTCTGCCCATTTGTGTCTGTGGGTCTGCAACTGTTTGCATCAGTTGCTGGATGAAGCCTCTCTGATGACAATTAGGCTAGGCACCCATCTGGCCTCAGGAGATGCCTAGTTCAGGCTACATATCCGCTATTGCTAGGAGTCTTCCCCATAGACTCCTGGGAGATTCCCTTGTGCCAGATTTTTACTTGACCCCAAAATGCAGCCCCCCTTTCCAGTAGTCTCTTTTAGTACCCCTCCCCCTCGGTTCCTACTTCCCCAGCCTGATTGCTTGTATTCCCAATCCCACCCTCCCTCAGTCCACTCATGAAATCCCTTATGTTTCCTTTTCCCTGGGAGATTCTTGGTTTCCTTTACTTGTCTTATTGCTCTAGCTAGAACTTCAAGTACTATATTGAATAAGTATGGAGAGCATGGACAGCCTTGTCTTGTTTCTGATTTTAGTGGAATTACTTTGAGTTTCTCTCCATTTATTTTGAAGTTGGCAATAGGCTTGCTTTATATTGCTTTTATTAAGTTTGGGTATCTTTCCAATGCAGGCATTTATAGTTACTGATTTCTATTCAGCAATGCTCTGCCACACCCCTAAATTTTGTTGTGTTGTTTTTATTTATAATTTCTCTGGTGAGTTACTCCTTGACTTAGTAGCTATGTGGATGTGGATTATTTAATTTTCCATATTTTTCTAAATGCTTTCTTTCTGTGCTAATTCCTAGTTTTATTCATTTGTGTTTAGAGAACATACACTATATAAAGTTAGTGTTTTCAAATTGATGACTTGTGCATAACGTAAGGTCTAGCTGTTAGAATACCCAGTTTACACTTTGTAAAGGGGAAGTTCATCTCCTTTGTATGTATTAGGTCTAATTGGTTATAATGTTCAATTTCTTTATTTATAGTAATCTATATAGGTATATCTGTTATTCCAAGTGATATTGAAGTCTGCCACTATTGTTACAGACCTGTTTGTTCTTTCATCACTTCAGTCCTTGCTTCATATGGTTTAGGTCTCTACTCTCAAGTTTACGTTTGTAATAGTTAGATCTTCTGGATGTGTTGATTGGTTTCTCACCACAGCGTTTGTTGTTACATTTTGTACTAGCTTTTAATTTAAAGCCGGTTTTGTATGAGTGTCCCACCTTTCTTTTATATTGTTTGTATTTTCTTTTCCCATCTTTTAACTTTTAATCTGTTCATAGTTTTGGAGCTGAAGTGTCTACCATGTCTATCATATACACATCATATATATATATATATATATATATATATATATATGTATATGCTTCATTTCTTAATTATCCATTCTGGAAGTCATTGCCTTTTATTAGAATTTAATTTATAAAGTAGTTACTTTATAATTAAGACTTACATCTGTTTAAAGAAGTATTCTAGACTGAAGGTACACAGTGGCTTTTCTGTTTAGCTACATAGTTACCTTTATCAGTTTTCTTTACTTCCTCATTTGGTTTCAATTTATTACCTAGTTCACCCCAGGCCAAAGCATTCTAATAAATATTTCTGTGGCTTCAATTGTAATAAATATAAATATATTTCTAAGATAGGTTATCATCTTTGGGTGCAGTTCTCTGGTACATATGTACAAAGTGGTGTTACTAAGAAGGCATTTTCAGGCAGTTAAAAGATATCAATTTAGTAATAGGATGCTGTAAATAAAAAAATTCAATAATTTTATCAAATTAAGAATTGATATAAAATATTTGAGAGATAATCATCTCAGAAGTTAGACATTCCTCATATGTTGTAAATGCTATGTTCAATTCTGTTTGACAGTTTAGCATTTAAAATAAAATCATTCATCTTATTAAAGTAAAAATAGAATAAAGTATAAATATAAATTTTAATGAGGTACATCCATTGTGAAAACAATTTTAGGGGCTGGATAGTTGGCTCAACAGTTAAAAGTTCTTGATGTTCTTGCAGAGGACACCAGTTGAGTTCTCAGCACCCACATAGTGGCTCATAACCCACTGTAACTCCAGTTAGAGGGGACCTGATAGCCTCTTTGAGTCTCTGCCGATTTTAAGTACATACATAGGCACATACAAACACCCATGCACATAAAATATAAACAAAATATTTTCTGACAAAAAAAATGCTCACATGGAATTCCAGCAGAATCCTACCATATTTTCAAACACGGTTTGCAATCAATCCTTCTTAAATTATTCAAAAAGAGAAGGCACACTGCAAAACTCCTTCTGAGAAGCCAGTACCATTCTAATACCCAAACTAGTTAAGGCACAGCTGCAGCAACAAAAAGAAAAACTATAAGCCAATATCCTATGAGCACAGATTGAAAATCCTCATTAAAATGCTTATGAATTTAATATAGGCTTATATCCAAAAGATTATATACCATATAACCACAGGAACCATTCACCATGAATTGATGTAATAAGTTACATAAATGAACTTAAATATCAAATAATTATCTCAATAGATGAAGAAAAGGCCTTCAATGAAATCCTTCATGCCATTTTGATAAATGGCTTAGAGAAAATACTGGAAAATACCTATCTGAGGATGATAAAAGCTATATATGAGAAACCCGCAGCCAGTAGCATCTTAAATAGAGAAAATCTTTAAGCAGGTAAACTGAAATCAGGAATGAGACAGGGCTGTCCTCAATCCTCACCTCTTTTCAATACACTGCTCAATGTACTAGCTGGAGCAATGGATCAAGAAAAAGAAAGTAAAGGGCTACAAGCAGGGAAAAAAAGAAGTCAAACTATCCTTATTTGCTGATGGTACAATATTACACATAAGAGACCCCAAAAATTTCACCAGAAATATTCTAGAAACAATCAGCAATCTCAGCAAAGTGACAGGATAAGAATCCATTCTCAAAAATCAAGAGCTTTTCTATACACCAACAACAAACATACAAAAAAGAAATCATAGATACACTCCCATTCACAGTAACCCCAGAGAAAATAAAATCTCTAGGAAGGACTTCTACAATGAAAACCTTAAATCTCTGAAGAAAGAGATGGAGACACACTGGGCAGTGGCAGAACATCCCATGCTCATGGAATGGTACAATTAATATTGTGAAAATGACTACCAAAAACTGTTTACAGATTCAGAGCAATCCCAATCAAAACTCCATGTCATTCTTCACAAAAGTAGAAAAGCAGGAACTATACTAAAATTTGTTTTGAACAATAAAAAGCCCTGGATAGCCAAAGCAATATTTAGCAAAAAATGCAGGGTTGGATGGATTGCTGTTAGAGATTACAAGATACAGTACAGAGCCATCAGATAAAATCTACGTGGCACCAGCACAAAAACAGACATGTAGATCAGTGGTACAAAATGGAAGACCCAAACATGGGTTCAGTGCAAGTAACTATAACCATCTCATATTTGACAAAATGTCAAAATCAGACCCTGGAGAAAAATTGAATCTTCAACAAGTGGTACTAGAAAAACTGGATGCTCCACATATATAAGAATGAAATTAGACCTATATCTATCACCTTGCAGAGAAACTAATTTCACATGGATCAAAGGCCTAAATATGAAACCTGGAACACTGAGTATGCTAGAATAAAACACACACACACGGTATATAAACGGCATATGTATAGGAAAGGACTTTCTGAATATGATCCATTTATCCAGGAATTAAGTCCTACAATTGACAAGTGGGGCTTCGTAAAACTAAAAGACTTCTTCACAACTAAAACAATTGAGTGAAGAAGAAGCTCACAGAATGGGAGAGAATCTTTGTGAGTTGTCCTCGGTAGAGGATTGATATCAGAATATATGGAGAAATGGGAAACTTAAGAAAAAAACATGACTCATTCGAAAAATGGGCTATGGATTTGAACATTGAGTTTTTAGAAGGAGATCTAAAATTGACTAAGAAATACCTCCCCAAAATGTTAATTATCCCCAGCAATTAGGGAAACGCAAATCAAAATGGCTGTGATAAAAAGCTCATTTTAGTCAGAGCCATCCTCTGCGAAGACAATTTTAATTATAAATGTTTCACTTGTGTTTATACATGGTTCTTTGGGTAAATACATTTTTTTTCAAGGTAAGACTATTCATGAAAATATGTTCTGCTGGGCCAGGAAATACATACTTGTTCCAGACTCACAGAATGTGATTAGATGGCATGTGTCAGTCTCACCCTCATGTTTTAGACATAAACTGTGTGAAAATTATGGCTGTTCTGTGAGATTTTAATGTACTTTTTTATATTTTTGTAGGAAAGTTAAAGGGGGAAATATTGATGTCCATCCATCAGAAAAAGCTCTCATCGTTCAGTATGAAGTGGAAGCTACCATTCTTGGAGAAATGGGGGATCCCATGTTGGGGGAAAGAAAGGAATGTCAAAAAATGTAAGTTTTCTTCATTTGTGTACATCTTTAAAATAGGGGACTTTATATAAACTTTATACAAATCTAATATTTTAATCTTTATAGGTAGTAAATATTTATGGAACACTTCTAGACATACTTTATCTTAGTCAATGAAAGATTACATTAGACTATATAAATATGGAATATATTCTAGAGAAAGTAATATTTTTGAAATGCTAAGTGAAATTAATCACAGAAGCTACGTTTATATAGGAACTTTTTGCTTAGTTTGGAAAATCTAAGTATTAAATCCTGTTTCCTTTTCCCCCTAGAATTGCTGGGAGTGGTTTGATGTTCAGATGTTCCCAAATGGGGCACAGATCTTTAATTAGTCCTTGAAAACAACCTAGTCCTCTGAAAAATGCAAGTAATAAGAGTGCTTTTAGATCCTCTGGTGTCCTACTTCCTTTCCTTCTTGGTTTTGAGAGAGTCCCTCAGGAACTGTCCTTTTTTCATCATTCTGCAGTTTTCTGCTAATTATCTTACCTTCCTCCTATAGTTTTTATGGTGAAATAAAATGAAAATGAAATTTATGCCCTGGCAATGCTGAAGCATATGTGGGCAGCCCATATATGGTAGTTTTGTTGAACTTGTTCATATTGGGTTTCAGGGTCTAAGTTGATGAGGACGACTGGCCAGGTCTCTTCCTCAAGAGGGCACCAGATCTCGTTACAGATGGTGTGAGCCACCATGTGGTTGCTGGGAATTGAACTTAGGGCCTTTGGAAGAGGAGACAATACTCTTAACTGTTGAACCATCTCTCCATCCCCATAGTTTTATGGTAGTAGAGAAGATTTGATATCACTTAATGTTCACCCTCAGCCCTCTCCCAGCTACACAGTGTTGATTTGGTAATTAGTCAGAAATCATTTCTACTTGTGCCATGTTTGGAATTGAGTGTGTTCGAGCTACTAGGAATGCATGTGATGGTGCCACTTTAAGTATAAGCATTGACTCCAAGTCCTTAAACACTCTGGGGATGGTTTCTTCCCCACAAAGAACATTGTTTCCCATCGAGATATTTTAGGTTGTCACTATAAGATGGTCACATTTTCATCTAAGAGGTGGAATCCAAGTACTATATGTACACAATCGCCTCCTACAAGAAACACTTATTAAGCCTGAATTTCAGTAATGCTATAGTTGAAAGCCCTGGCTTACTTACCCTACAAAGAGAAACTGCTTAGTGTCTCATTTTACTGTCTTCATTGGTTTTTCTGTAGGGATCAGGAGACTGACATTAGTGGCTCATGATAATAAATTAATCTTCTAGACCATACAAGACACTGACGAATATGTGTGTATTCTCACACTGCAGTCCAGATTACCCTTTTAGTCTTTCTCTCTCCATTCTTTTCTGTTTGCCATTCCTTACCTGAGACTATAAGACTTGAGCATTCATGAAAATCTCTTGAGATTTCTGTAACAGTGTAAACGAATGCAGACAGATTGTAAAAATACATACAGCTTTAATGGAAAAATAGACTTACAGAACCACCGTTCCTGCGGAAAGCAGAAGCAAGCACTGCGAGCATGCTCGCCAGATTTATAGGTAAACATGCTCGCCAGATTTATAGGTAAACCTTAGCCCAAGGCGAACACGCCCCCTAAGGGGTGGGACTTATCCCTACATCTCCCCCTTTTGTCTAAATAAGACAGAACTAAACCAAATACAACTTTATACAATAATAACAAATAATAAATATAACAAACAATATTGAGAACAAAGTTTTGCTAAACATTCTATCTCAAGGAGTCTAAATAATGTAGAGTGTAACTACAATTATATAATCTTCAACTCCGTCAAAGATCTGAGAAGGGAATAAATATTACTTAACAAACGAGATATATCCAAAATGTGCAACAATTGACAGAGACAACTGACTACCTGGGCAATCACGCAAAGTCTCGTTTGCAATGTTGAGTCAACCAACTTTGGCTAAGGCCTAACATAACTGACATACCATTATTAAAGGCAAGGAACTTTTTAAAACTATCTTACTTTGTCTTGGCAGGATATGACAGTCCTGTTTTATCCATTGATGCACACTCTGTCGGTAGAGCATGAGACTCTTAATCTCAGGGTCATGGGTTCGAGCCCCACGTTGGGCGCCAAAATGTAACAGCGTAAACGAATGCAGACAGATTGTAAAAATATATACAGCTTTAATGGAGAAATAGACTTACAGAACCACCGTTCCCGCAGAGACCAGGAAAGCAGAAGCAAGTGCTGCGAGATGCTTGCCAGATTTATAGGTAAACATTAGCCCAAGGCGAACACGCCCCCTAAGGGGCGGGACTTATCCCTACAGATTTCAATATTAGATTTCCTAAAGAAAAGCTGTCTTTAACTTTATAATCTCAAAACCTGCACTTCAGGAGAGGAATTTAATTTTTAGTTCTGAGGGTTTCACTCACTAACAGAAGGTATGTCACATTCACTAACCAAAGGTATGTACCACAAGACCCTACCAAAAGGAAAAATGTGTTTTGTTAATCCGAAAGGTTTTGTTAATGGTGGAGAAGAGAAAGTCTGTGTAGGTTGAGATAGGGATGACATAAACTGTCACCAAACTAGAGAGACGGGTGACTGTCTAGATCCACAGCCTGGCGCTTCCGCCTCTTAGAATGCCTTTCTGATTTCATTTTGAGAAACTGATGGTTATGGTGTAGAAATCATACAAATGAAATTTTGTTGGCTTTTTCTCCTACTAAGTATGAGTCTTGTATAGGAGGATTTACTTGACAGTCCTGATTTTATGTTTTCATAGTTGTCACTCATGCCATGAGTCCAAGTAAACAGGCTGGTGTGTTCCTCTGCACTGTCTTTTCTTCCCTTTCACTAGGACAGACTCCCAGTGATTGTCCTGGACTCAATTAAGAGGAAGGAATGGCAGAGTACCTCAGAGTTTATAGTACTTGCCTAGCAAGTGGCAGGTTCCAATCCCAGCACAAGTAAAGAAAAGTTGGAAAATGTTGTCATATTCAAGTATAAATGATATCATTTCTGACAGTATGTATTTCATATTCAGTCATAAGTAAAGACTGTGTTTTTACATCAGAAGTACTGCTTCAAACAGGGCTTAGGGATATCTTGTCCAGAAAGTCTTAAAAGATTTATGTTGCTTTTACTACCTTTTTATGCAGCTCACAGGAAATGATTGCCTTGAACTTATAAAAGCCTAATTGTATCTAAGTTATTACTTTAATAAGATTCAATGGCTAGATAGATATAGACTATGCATAATTTATAAATTATCTTAAAATAGTATTTTTGAATCTGTCATGTACTTTCTATAATATCTGAATTGGGAATTTGGATGTGCTTGCAGCATTCGTCTGAAGAGTCTCAATGCTAACACAGATATCACCTCTCTGGCCCGAAAAGTAGTTGAAGAATGTAAACTCATTCATCCCTCAAAGCTGAATGAGGTAGAGCAGCTGCTGTACTATCTACAGAACCGCCGTGATTCATTGTCAGGAAAAGGTGAGTGGAAGGAGGTAGAGTTTTAAATGTAACACCAAAGGCAGCCTTCACAAATATTATGTTTACTTTGTAAATAGATGTGTAGTATAAAAATACATAGTTATAGCTGGGCCATGATGCGCCTTTAATCCCAGCACTCAGGAGGCAGAGGCTGGCAGATATCTGTGAGTTCAAGGCCAGCCTGGTTTATAGAGTGAATTCCAGGACAGGCTCCAAAGCTACAGAGAAACCCTGTCTAGAAAAACCAAAACAAGTAAGCAAACAAACAAATCTAGTTATGAAAACTGTATTCATTTTGGTTGTGAGTTCTTACCAGTGCTAGGATAACCAGATGTACTTGTTTCCTGAATTGGAGGTTTTATGCTTCTACATGCAGTGGTCAGACTCTTTCACTGTGTGTGCACATGCACACATATGCTGAAATAAGGAGATAAGTCTGTCATCATGGTAGTAGAATAATAAAAGGCACATTGAAGGCAGAGATCTTCTCTTTTCTAATTAGACTTATTTTTCTAAATTTCTGGTTTATGCATCATTTATAACTTTAGTGAATTATTTATTTCAAGTTTTAATATACATATGAGAGATGTCTCATGCTTTAGATAACCCTGGGATATTACTCTCATGAATTTTCCTAAGAAAAGTATCACATTTCTTTTATCATTGTCTTTATTATTGTCATTTTCCTGTTCTCAACTCCTTCATGAAAGAACTGTACCATTAATGTTTTAGAACTCAGGAAATATAGAAGATATTTTCAAATAAAAAGGTTATCCCAATGAATGTTAGTGATTAGGATATATGAAAAAAGAACTGTGAAAAGTGTTCATTATATATGGATAGAATAATTCAAGTCAGTATTAGTCTCTCTCTGCACATTAGTAGTTGAAGGTATATAATGTTTTACTGCATATTAAAACTATACTTGTCTAAATGATCAAGATGTTTATAACTTTTTACTGTGATAATGTAGAGCCAGAAGCCTCCCCCTAAGGAGATGGCAGGAGGGACTGTAGTAAACTGTGGCACAGTGATTCATCACTTCAGTGATTTCTTTTTCTTTGCCAGTCAGAACTACTGTTATTTTATTTAAAATTAAAAATAATTTTAACTAAATTTTTTTTGACACAGAATTTAACTTTTGATGATATGCCCTTACCTCTCATGGATAATGCCCCTGAAAGTGGAAATGGTTAATTCCTTTTCAATTCTGTATTTGTGTCTCTTTGGAAGAGTAGGCTGTCCTGACATTTTTATTGTCAACAGTGTGTTCCTCATTTTCCATCACTCATACTTCATAGCAGTATTTCTTTTCGTAGCATGTATTAATTGTGTGAAACTGGTTTTTCATGAGGACAGTTTGATACATGAATGTAGAGTTCATATTTACTTCCAGCATTCTTGCTGATCCCCTTCTAAATTGTCCCCTGTAATGTCCAAGTCTTTTATATCCATATTTATTTGCTAACTGTACAGTTTTTTATTTTTTCTAATTTATTTAATTTCCTTTCTAATTTATTATTGATTTAATGCATTGTTTCTGTTTTTAATATGAAAATATGCTTTTAACTGAATAGAGTAATAAACATGTTCAGTACGTTTGAATGCCTCCTTGGGAATAAATGAAGATTAAGCTGATGTAAATATCAAAAATTCGTCTTTTAATTTATGTCCTTTAACTTTTCAGACAAAAATCATTCATTCTTAGTTACTTTAGCTTATAATTTAGCTACTATTTCTTACTCCTCCTGTGTTAACGTTAGTTTTCATGTTCATCATTTTTTTATTACTTACACTGTTTTCTTTGCCTTATTGATTTATGCATTCCCATCTTAAAAGAAGTATAATTTTGTCACAGATTTTGTTAGTTTATGTTCTCCTTAATAGCATCATTAGAACAAATAGCTGATTTTTACATGGAAATATTTTATGCACTGAAAAAAATTTCATCAAAGATTTAATTTTATACCCCCAGGTTAGGCAGCATCAATCTCAACTACTGAAAATAATTACTCCCAAACCTTTAAAACCTAATTCTTAGGATTTTTAAAATCTTTTTTACAGAAAAAAAAGAAAAATCAAGCAAGCCTAAAGATCCACCTCCTTTTGAAGGGATGGAGGTAAGACCGTGTGAATTCTGATCTGTTCAACAAAACACTACAGACATCACCTTTCCTTTCAGTATTGCATATGGCCATGTTCAGAAGTAGAATTTTAAATGGTTCACTTTAGAGATACCTTAAAAAGGCATCTTGTTTAATCAATGCTTAATTGATTAAAACAAAAATTGTTGGTAGTGCTGTTTAACACATTTTAAATTTATTAAAGTAAGTAGCAAAAATATTCTCAACATTTTGGAATAAGTTTTAAAATATTTAATCTATTATAGTAGTTGCAAATAACTTTGTATTACATTTAAAATACATTAAGAGACAAATTTTAGATATGTTCCATTTTATTGTGCTTATAATTTAATATTATCATTCTACTACACAAAGACCTAAAATTTCCATCCACAAAAGAGGCTATTATCCATTTTTTGGAAATTGTTTGTAAGTAATATATCCATCACAAATATCATCGATCTGACTGCGATTCTGCCTATCAGAGCTACTGAGTGCTTCCCGCTATGTTTCAGATTGACGAAGTGGCCAACATTAATGACATGGATGAGTACATTGAGCTGTTGTATGAAGATATTCCAGACAAGGTTCGGGGTTCTGCCTTGATCCTACAGCTGGCTCGAAATCCTGATAACTTGGAAGAACTACTATTAAATGGTAATTTCTTTTCCTAAATATTGAACATAGAAAATTATGGAAAGCAAACCTACCCTCAAAGTTTGTACTCAGATCTTAAATATTTTATGTATACAAATGCACATATACTTGTTTTCATGTCTTAAATATTTATATTCTGAAGTTTCTTTTTTCTTGTATATATTAGGAATATTTTAAATCTGTTATCTTCCTCTCCTTCTCTCTTTTCATGGTAGGTCTATGTATCCACTCTTTTGTTTTCACACTGTTTGTGGTTTTGCATCTCAAGAGTTTGTTGGAATTAGCATATGACTAGACCACCATGTGTTCTTTTTCCATTCAGTTTATTGGTGTCTTTAGTCTGTTCAACACTGATGTAGCACTCATAAAGTAGGTTTTGTTATTTTGTATTTGCTATGAATGATGAAACTTTGAACATATATATTTGTAAATTATGAAAAATGTTATGATTCTTAACTCTTTTTACTCTTCTATTTCTGTTTTCTTCTGCTATTGTTTCCTTCTATACTAGATGGTTTTTAGTCTATCATTTTAAGCTAATTTTCTATTATTATGTTTACCTGAGTTATTATCTTAGTGATTTCCCAACATTACAATTGACAGTTTCAAACAATCTTGTTCAAATTACAACTAATTTAATTTTAACAGTATACAGAAATTTGTTCCAATATACACTTTTGTCTTTTCCCTCCTCACTCCTTTGTGCTGTAATAATACTGATTTATTTCTTGCATATGTATATGTGTGGTATATCCATATCTGTATGCGTGTTTACAAGTGTATGAGTATACTTGTTTATAGAAGTATATACATTCTCATATGTGTGTGTAGAGGCCCAGGGCTGATATCAAGAGTCTTACTCAATCATTGGCTGCCTTATTGTCTCTTAGTTGAACCCAGAGCATGAGGATATGGCTGGTCTAGCTAGTTAGCTTGCTCCAGTAATCCACCTTCAGAGCTCTGGAGTTACAGGCAGGTGGCTGAGGGCCCCTGTAAAGTGTCAGTTCAGGCAGTGATCCGCGAAGATGGGAAAATGAAAACTCAGTTCAGATTGCCTTTATCAACCTGGATCAAACCTGGGAAGTCTAATGCCAGGAGGTTCATATTTAAAACACAGTACAGTTTGGGTAAAAGTTTCCAGGCAACAGTTATTCCCATCCCAGGTGCACAATAAAGCTTAAGGTATGGCTACATAGAAACTCCTTTACAAAGTACATGTGGCCATAAGAATGGTTTCTGTAACTACAAGGTCTAGAATTTAGTGTGGTCTCTGTCCAAGATGTCATAGAGAAGTACATATGACATCTCCCCCAAGGATGGGTTCCAATAACTGAGAGCTAAAGATCTAGGGAGGGAAGAGTCTGGTATAAACATTCGGCATGAGGTCTGCCTCTATAGCACAATATGGGTGAGGTCTGCCTCTCAAATAGCAGAAAGGTCACCTGGTCATTAACAGTATTCATTCCCGGCCTTCCGGGTGAAAAACAGGTAATTTCTCCTTTGAGGAGAGGCCCTGCATGTTTAGCATCATTGGTTTCACGGTGCTCTGTGGGCACAAGAAGCTTTGTACCCCCAACAGGTGACAGAAATTCTCTTGCACTTTCATGTGTCATTCCTATCTGCATGTCTCCATGATTTCTGAGGTAAACCTGTTTACCATCTTATTGATGGTAAACACACAGCATTGCTTTTCTCTTCACGCTTTGGTTCTCTTAGCCTTTTTGCAAACCTGACCATGACTGTGACATGTTTAAGTGTTGATATCATTCAGTGTGGTATATTTGGTGTGTTTACCTTTTTAGTCTTCAGCACACAGGAAATTTTTAGCTATTTTCTCATTAAATGTTCAGTTTGAACCTGTATATGCTTCTGAGACCTGCATCATGGATGTTTCTGTGCTGTATTCTCCAGATTTCTTTAAGGACCTGTTCATTTTGACTTCCTCTTTTTTTCTTCAGACTGACCAATCTAAAATGCTTATATTAACTTTTCCTATGTCACGCCTGTTGCTTAGATTCCCAGTAAATTTTAACTTTAGCTTTTGTACTCTTCAAGTACATATTTCTTATTTTTGCCTCTTTTTTTATAATTTGTGGTCTCGTTGATAAAATGTCATCCCTGTTCACTCATGTAACTAACTGCCTTTAAATCTATAGAAATGGTTTACTTTAATCTTTAAATGTTATTTATTTCTGTATATGTGTCTGTGCATTTGAATGTGTGTAGCTGTGTACGTGTGTATTTGGAGACCAGAAGAGGGCATAGGGTGTATGCCTCTATCATTTTTTACCTATTCTTTGAGGCAAAGTCTCTACCTAAATCTGGGACACAGGTTTTCACAACTGGGCTAGATTCCAGCAAACCTCAGGGGTGCTCCTGTTTTCACCTCCATGGAGCTGTATTAAAGGTGTGAGAGAAGCATGGTGACTTGCTTGGGAAATCTGAACTGTGGTCCTCATGATTGCACAACAAGTACTCTTAACTGCCAGCCTATCTTTCCGGTCCCTCTTTTTCTGAATGTAATAATAGCTGATTTAAACTCTTTGTCTTATAATAAACTCAGTATCTACTTTTTCATGGACAATCTATTGATTTTATTACCTGAGCATGGGTCACATGGTTCTATTTCTTTCTCTGGTGAGTTGGTTTTGTTGAAACAATATATGGTAACTCTGGAAATCAATCATGCTACCCCATGGCTTTTTATTAATGCCATTTGTTTGTTAGTCAAGTTTTGTGGATTAATTCTACAAATTTGATATCCTTTTAGAAGCAGTGCAATTTCTACTCAGTTGGTTTTTTGGACAATTTCCTTAATTGCTTGATGATAATATCTCCCACCCTTACTGAAGACCTCTATGTATGTTAGGGTGTGTCCTAAGTGTTGAGGCACTTCACATTTAAGACTCTGCTTTTCTTCTTAGACAGTTTCAAAATTCAGCCAGAACTGATAGATTAGGGTCTTTCTGTGATAGGCCTACAACTGTGTACCTGTCTGTATGTGGCTTTCTAGATTTAACAAAAGTACGTCTGACCCCTTTAAAGCTCCTGAAAATACCTGATTTTAGCTTTTGTTTAAAAAATGTCAATAACCTTTTGTTAATCCTGCTAACAAACTGTAAGTCTATCTCGGGCATTGTGATGCTGCCACAGTGCTTTTCTCTAACAGCATAAGGCTGTTTAAGGCACAGCAAGCTTCAAGTCAAACAAATGACAACTGAATGTTCCCTGCACCCCATGAACCCAGCTTTTCACAAGCTTCTTCTGGTATGGGGTAGGAGGGAAGCTTCAAACTCTGCTCTCCTCAGCTCCTGCCAGTCCACCACAGTGGGACAAGGCAAAAAAGGATTAAGACAGTTCAATTGTCACAGGGCTCGCTGTTCTTATCAAAGTTTAACTGTTTTTCTTCAGTAAATACTTTGTGAATTACCTAAAGGTAATTCTCCATTTTTAAATAAAAGTGAGATAGTGTTTCACTATATAGCTCAGGCTACCCTCAAATTCACGTCTTCATGCCTCAGTCTCCCAACAGGCTAGTAGCATATGCAATATATAGCTTATATAGCAATATGGCAAATAGCAGTTTTGAAAAGTTTTTTTTTTTACCAGTTTGCTTATTCTTATATGGAAGAGTGAATTGCTTGAGGTTTTTAGTCTGCTGCCCTACAAGTTACTTGCCCCAGAATTCATTTTTGATAAAATAATGGTATAGCGGTATAAACTAAGGTTACTTTATGTTATGTAATCCTCCATTCCCATGTAGTTAGTGATCAGAACATGACCTAACTCAGGTATCCAGATTCCTTTTGTTATTGTTCCTGTGTGCCTGCTGTTTCTTCATCGAACAGATGCTGTTTCTTCCAGAGACTTACTCCTCACCATACATTTCCCACATGGCAATGGGTATGCTATATCTTCTTTCTGTTCCATTGGTCTGGTTCATGAGTATTGGTGAAATTTTCTGTCCTGCCAGCCACCTCCCAAACAACCATACAGAGACTTGTTATTAATTATAAATGCTTGGTCAATAGTTTAGCCTTGTTACTAACTAGCTCTTACAACTTAAATTAATTCATATTTCTCATCTGTGATCTACCACATGGCTCAGTACATTTTTTCAGCATGGCTTGTTCATCTTGCGATGACTTGCCCTTCTTCATCCCAGTGCTCTCTCCCTGTCTGCAAGTCCTGCCTTTTTCCTGCCTAGCAATTGCCATTTAGCTCTCCGTTAAACCAATGAGAACAACACATCTTCACAGTGTACAAAAAGATTGTTCCACAACAGATAAGGGCCGAACCAATATAATACTGTTGGTTATTGTTCTGTAGTTTTATTTGTGGTGCATGAAATTGAACCCAAGACCTTTTACCTGTTAAGGGCAGGCTGTCACTAGAGCTGGTTCCCCAGGCTGTGTTTATTTGTCAAGTCTCTTTAGTTTGGGTGGACTTAATTTTTCTTCTTTCCTTTTTTTTTGAGGGGGTAGGAGTTGGGAGTGGGAGGTGGATTTTTGTTTGGAGACAGGGTCTGGTGTAGCACAGGTTTGTCTTGAATGCACATGTGGCTAAGGCTGGCCTTTAACTCTTGATCTTCTGGCTTCACTTTCTAGTATGTAGTTTAATTTACTTGTAAGATAAATGATCCAATTTGACTTTCTTTTTTCTTCAGAATTCACTTTGCTGGTCTTGTACTGAAATTATGTTCAAATTCGTGCTTTTTTACAGTAGTCTGCTGTGGCACACTTGAGAAATACTCTTTCCTCTGGCTTGTGTTAATTAAAAGCTTTTAGGATTTGGTAGATAGAAAAAGTGAAGCCAGATTTCCTACTAAGTAGGACTTTTGAACCATTGAGTATGTACTGCCCTTCTGCTTATGTGATTTTTCAATAGCTTCGAGCAAAGCTTGCATTAGTCCAATGACTTACAGGGATTGTGAAAATCTATTGGCAGATTTTTAAATTGCTAAAAAATTCATTACTAAATTGATGAATACTAATATAGCCAATTCTTATTTTATAATCTGAATAACCAGGAATATATATATATATATATATATATATATATATATAACAATAGATTCTGAATTTTCATTAATGACAGTGGAATTATAATTTCTATGTTTTAACATGTGGAAGGACACTTTAAAAATAATCCCACACTAGCTCAGAATTGAGAAATAGATGGTTATTTATTTAGGGGTAAACTCACAAATCAGAATTCTCTGCTTGAAAGGAGAACGTTAACTGAATCCAGCAACCAGAAAAAGAGCAGACACATGCTCTGCATCCGCTTATATAGTGTAAGAGGCCACGCCCCTTGGGCGGGTAACCACTGGCTGCAAGACTTTCTACAACATTAACAGATATTTTAACCTTTTTTTAAAATTGGGCGGGAGATAGCTCAGTGAAAAAAGTGGTTTCCATGCAGGTGTGAGAACCTGTGTGTTCTCAGCCCCACATGAATTGTTTGTGGGAATGGCATTCCACTTAAAATCCTAATGCTGATATATGATTCCCACAGCCAGTTGGCTAGCCAGAATAGACATCTGCGAAGCTTTGGAGTCAGCTGAGAGACTATGCCTCAAGGAAAGGTGGCAAACAACTGAGGAAGACTCTGCTGTCAGCCTCTAGCCTTTAAATGGATGTGTGCTCACACATGTGTAAACACACAAGTACCACAGATACATACTTATGCAAAAAATAGTCTTACAATAACTCATTTAAAACTGACCTCATATTTCCTTAATATCTCCAAGCATTAATTAATTATTTATTCTAGCAGAAATACTTATGTACTTCCAAGAAGTTATTATCTGAAACTTCTATTTTGTTATTTATGTCTGTTGGTATGTAATATATGTAAATGTTACTTTTCTTCACGTAAGTTTTATTTTTTTTTTACCTTAATGAAGCTAAGATGGCTAAACTGCTCATTTATAATCTAGGTATATTCTAGTCTTTGTCCTAATAGAGTAAATCAAATGTTAAAAAAGAAAACAAAAACCGGGCAGTGGTGGTTCACACCTTTAATGCCAGCACTTGTGAGGCAAAGAAAGAGACAGGTGGATCTCTGTGAGTTTGAGGTCAGCCTGCTCTACAAATTAAGTTCCAGGACAGCCAGGGCTACAAATTAAGTTCCAGGAATTATTAGAGAAACCCTGTCTCAATAAATAAAAAAAAAAAAGGAAAGGGAAGAAAGGGAGGGAGAGAGAGAGAAACAAAGGTAGCACAGCAGTAGTAGGATTCAAAGCAGAAAGTCAGGAAGCAGACAGTCAGGAAGCGGACAGTCGGGAAGCAGACAGTCGGGAAGCGGGCAGTCGGGAAGGGGAAGCAGGCAGTCGGGAAGCGGACAGTCGGGAAGCGGGCAGTCGGGAAGGGGAAGCAGGCAGTCGGGAAGCAGACAGGCGGGAAGCAGACAGGCGGGAAGCAGGCAGTCGGGAAGCAGACAGTCGGGAAGCAGACAGGCGGGAAGCAGACAGTCGGGAAGCAGACAGGCGGGAAGCAGGCAGTCGGGAAGCAGACAGGCGGGAAGCAGACAGGCGGGAAGCAGACAGGCGGGAAGCAGACAGGCGGGAAGCAGACAGTCGGGAAGCAGACAGGCGGGAAGCAGACAGTCGGGAAGCAGGCAGGCGGGAAGCAGGCAGTCGGGAAGCAGTCAGGAAGCAGACAGGCGGGAAGCAGGCAGTCGGGAAGCAGTCGGGAAGCAGACAGGCGGGAAGCAGGCAGTCGGGAAGCAGTCGGGAAGCAGGCAGGCGGGAAGCAGGCAGTCGGGAAGCAGGCAGTCGGGAAGCAGGCAGTCAGGAAGCAGACAGGCGGGAAGCAGTCGGGAAGCAGGCAGGCAGCCTTTGATGATCTGCTGTCACATTTATCTAAATCACATTCAATTTCTTTACTGCACACTTGTATGTCAAGAGTTTTGAATGAAAGTTTTATTATACTTCTAAATTAGCTTTCTGTATCGGAAAGAAACATCCTACTTCTTTGTCCCAGTTCCATCTTGGCTTTGTTACTTATTCATAAGTAGACATTTAAAACCAGCCTCCCTTTATATCAAAGCCTAGATAAATGATTATATCCGTATGTCTCCTTTTCTGTAGAAACTGCCCTTGGTGCGCTAGCAAGAGTCCTGAGAGAAGACTGGAAACAAAGTGTTGAGTTAGCTACAAACATCATTTATATCTTCTTTTGTTTCTCTAGGTAAGTATAAAGATTCTAAAAGGACTAATTGATCTCTGTTGCTGCCTGCCTGTACCAGTGTGCAGCCCATTGGTTCTCCCAGTCTTTGTGTATTTGTCCATGCTCTGCTTCTTACTGCTGGCTTTTTACTCTATTATTCTTTCATTGTGTCTACAACTCCCTGTACCTGCACACATGCACACACTTGTTCATATACACCAATTCGGCATAATAGTTTAGAATGTGTTTACAATTCTGGAAGAAAATTATCTCAGTATGAATGTAATGCCTACCGTTTACTCACTGTGTACTCTTGGTTATTTTGCCTAATCACCGTGGGCCTTGGTTCCTGTGTAAAGTTTTCATTGTAATAGCCACATTCTTTTCTGGTAGGTTTTAGGATTAAATGATTAAGAAACTTAGGTTAAAAGCCTGGTACATAGTAAGTTCTCTTATACTTAGATATACTTATGAACATGTAAATAATAGCATATTTATAATACACATACTTCTGTATCTCATTTTTTTTTACCAATTTAGTACATACTTAGGGGATACAGATTGATAGTTTGATTACATGTGACAATATATAAATGATCAAATCAGGGTGGTTGGTATTTCCAACTCTGTGAACACTTATCATTTCTTTGTGTTGTGCATGTTTGAACTCCTCTCTTGCAGTTCTTTCTAAAATATACTATAAATTGTTGTGAACTGTAGTTACCCTACTGTGCTGTACAATCCGAACTTACTCCTCCTGTGATTGTGTGTTGTTTTGGTGATCCAACCCCCCTTTATTCTCCCTAATTTTAACCCTTCCTAATCTCTAGAAGTCTCTAGTCTACTCTCTTTATATGAAGTCAACTCTTTCCTTCCAGATATCAGAACAAGGACATATGACAGTTACTTTTTTTGTTTGACTTATTTTAACATAATGTCCTCCAGTTCCATTGTGTCTAATAAATTATGAAATTTTATTCTTTTAATAGTTGAATATATTCTATTTACATGTATATATTCTTAATAGAGGTATTATTGAGATTTTATGAAAATTTTCTAGCCAATTGGATTTTAATAATAAAAAACATTGGCAAAGATATTTTCTTGAATAAATACTTAAATAAGTTAATTATTTAGCAATATATATATACATATATATATAACCTGATTGCTAATATGTTACTAGTTTATTCTTTCTCATCAATTTTATACAACAAATAAAACCTTATTATAACATTAGTTTGTTAGACAATATTCCAAAACATATTATGAGACTGTCTTAGTACTTAGTATTGTGATTAAGAATGAAAACTTGATTAATAATTATATTTAAAATGAGGATAGCATGTTAATACATATTTAAAATAATCTCATAATTTCAAAATTACTGTAGTGTATTCATTCATTGAAATGTGTGTCATACTTATGTTTTGTATAGTTTATGGCAGTTTGGGCCAAAACCAAATCTCCTATTTGAACTAGATGTATTCTTTTTAAATCTCTCCTTTGAAGCTTTTCTCATTTTCATGGACTCATCACACATTATAAAATTGGAGCCCTGTGTATGAATATCATTGATCATGAGTTAAAAAGACATGAGCTTTGGCAAGAAGAACTTTCTAAGAAGAAGAAAGCTGATATCCTTTAGGTGCCATTTTGACCTGCTGCCTATGCTTAGATGCTTTTGATGGATGTGGCGGGGCGGGGGTGTTCTTTCCATTTTTAGTTCCTGTCATATTATTTGAAAATTATGTAAAAATGTTCCAGAAGAAAAGATAGAGATTGGAATTATCAGAGTAGTTACAGGCTGGCAGACGTTTTGTCTGTTCACATTTGACTGGTTATAAGGTAGAAGAGTGAAGTCAGCAGCAGTGCTAGATAAGTGGATGAGAATCTCTAAATGACAGCACTATGGTATCACATGACCTGTGTGTCTGGTGAAGCATGGCTTCCCACTGCTTCCAAGTAACTTTGATGGGATGGATTAAATTTCTCGATAAACCTAATTTTTCCAGGAAACTGCAGTTCTACTTTTCTATGAAGTTCAGTTTTTCTGGTTAAGTGAAAAAATATTAGTGCAGATTTGAGAAATCTATAGAATGATAGAACCTATGAAAAGAACCTTGGAAATTCTGGTTTAATGAATTTTATGGTCTAGGAATTGTTTTTTAGTTTCTTAACAAATGCTTTCACACACTTTTCATTAACAGTGTCATTGCCCATTGGCTTAAGGCATTTTGAGGTTGGAATTCCATTTACTTTAGTGTCCCTTTGCTTTTTGAGCTATAGTCTGCATTCTGATAATTTCTATCTCTTGATTTGTCTTTCATACTGAGTATAGTATAAGGATGCTGTTTTTAAAATTACTGTAATCTCATTTGAAAATACTATAGTGTCTTTACAATTTAATTCTAACTCAAAGGTCCTCAACTGTTCATATGTGTCTTAACATGAAGTTTCACGTATCAGTGAGGTGCAGGCATGGCATTGTTTGAATACAATATTTATTTGTATTTATTGGAAATGAAAGCATTATTCCTATAAGAAAAAAAATGAGGCAGAGAGGTAGATAGACTTAATCATCACAGGCTGAGGCTGCTTTATTGGAATAGCAAGGGGCCCCAGCTTTTGCACTGGATGAAAGCTGAGTGCTTTTAGAGGGGCTGGGGAACAGGTACACATATACACACACATAGATAGCTACTAGGAAGTTACGGTTATTTTTTGTGGTTTGAATGGGACCAGAGTGGGTTGTTTTCCATACCTGGGCATATTGTTTGTGTAGGTGGAGCTGAAGTCAGGTTGGAGCTAAGCCATTCTTTATGGCTAGGGGCTATTTCCCAATACCCTGACTCAATTCCCCATGGCCTAAGGCTATATAACCCTGTCCTGTCTGGCTAGAGTGTGGTGCATTTATTAAATCTCCATGTGAAACTCATGGGCCTTATTCTTTAGAACAATCTCTCTCCCTCTCCCTCTTTCCTCCCTCCCCACTCTTTATTTTTTGGTGTTTTGAGATTGGATATCTTTGTATAAGCCTGGCCATCCTGGGACTCTCCGTAGACCAGGCTGGCCTCAAACTCACAGGGATCTGTCTGCCTCTGCGTTGACTCCTGGGATTAAAGGCGTGCGCCACCACTGCCCGGCTTCTTTCTCTTCAAGTCTCTAACCTGAGCAAGTTTCTGCTTCAAATTTAATCTACATATTTTAGGTGTCTGCCTAAATAGAGTCTTTTATTCTTAGCAACTGCATCAATTTCTCTAAAGTAAGTCATATTTTTTTTTTTTTTGATTTCTCGAGACAGGGTTTCTCCGTAGCTTTTGGTTCCTGTCCTGGAACTAGCTCTTGTAGACCAGGCTGGCCTCGAACTCACAGACATCCGCCTGCCTCTGCCTCCCGAGTGCTGGGATTAAAGGCGTGCCCCACCACTGCCCGGCTTAGTAAATCATATTTTTAATGGACTCACTTATGGTCTGCTGGAAGTTATAGACTTGGCAACTTTCATAAGATATTGGCTTGTATTACTGAGAATCCAAGTATTTGGTGAAGTTCAAACAGTTCATCCTTGTAAGACTTAAAGGAAATTATGGGTCCTTTGGCTAATATGTCTTATTATGCATAGTTCTGCAGTTAGGATTCTAGTTGAATTGTTGGATGGGAAATAAAGTTGTAGTCAGTCTTGATAGCACGCATATCTTTAATAGCAGCGTCCAAAGGCAGAGGTAGGTGGGTCTCTATTTGTTTGAAGCCATCTTAGTCTACATAGTAAGTTCCAGGTCTGTTAGAGTTACACAAGGAAACCCTGTCTTAATAAATAATAATTTGCAGATAAAACATAATAGCACTGTTCTCGGTAGGTTTTCTTCACTTCATGCTTGTGATCCTTAACTTGAGTTTTACTTGACGAAGACCTTGAAAATCAAACGTTGAGAAAGGATTATGATAAAACCTTTAAAAAGTACCAGGGACTTGTGGTAAAACAAGAACAGCTATTGAGAGGTATGAGCTCCTGAACACTTCCTGAGATCTGACACTAGAAAACTGGTACAAAATTTTAAAATATTTTTCACTTAATAAAGAATAAAGCCTGTTTCTAAGGGTTTGTTGAGTAATAAGAGACTTTAATATTATATAGTTTTGCTGTCAATTAAGATGCAAAGTCTTAAGGTTTAGTTAGAATGATATGGATCCTTTAAGTGGATATTCAAATCCTGGCTTAGAGTGAACTGTGGATTGTGGTTTATTTCATTGCTTATTTGATGAACTTTGTACATGGAAATGTTAGCACATGAATAAATTTTTATTCCCTGATAGTTCTTAAGTTTTCTTACTATACTGAATTTTTTAAGTTTTACTGTTGTTTTATTTGGTTTGGCAGTACTAGGAACCAAACCAAAGTCTGCACTGTTAAGCAGGCACATTACTAATGAACCATGTCTCCTCAGGCCAGTTTTAAAGATTTGAAGTTGAGTGGTTAAGTTCAGACTGTTGTAGAAAAAGCCACCTTGTCAATGTCAAATGTTTAAAGAGACTAGAACATAGTAACTTTACCTGGGTTAGAATGTCAGTCATGATAACATTAGATCTCTAAAAATAATTGTCTTGTTAGAATTTTAAAACTCTAAGCTGATTTTTTAACATGTAAAATAGTTAACTCTATTCCTAACCAAAATAGTTTCTTTAAGCAAATGTTTTATGTTCTGTTTAAACAGTTTTATTGAAAGATGATTAATGGGCAGTAAACTGTATACTATTAACATACACAATTTAGTAAATTTCAATGTATGAAAATAGTTACAGGACTGAGACCATATTCAAAGTAGACATGTCCATCATTCCCATAGCTTCCTTATATGTTTGTGTTTCTCCTTCATTTTTTCTTTCCCTTTGTTCTCTAGTAATTTTAGAGATATAAATGGAATTACACAGCTTCTTGCTTGGTCAGAATAAGGACATGTCCATGTTGTTGGATTTAGAGATATAAATGGAATCACACAGCGTCTTGTTTGGGCAGAATAAAGACATGTCCATGTTGTTGGATTTATCAGGAATTTTCCTTTTAGTTACTCATTATAATTCTCAGTATTCTCTTGTTTATGGTCATTTGGAATATTTCCGGTTATGGCGATTGCTATGCTCCTTTTAGTATCCTTATACGGGCAGATATCATCATGTTCTCCATCTATATCCATCCCTAGAGACAGCATAGTAAGCAAAGCTTAGCGTCATAGAAGACTGGTATTACAAAGAAATGGGCCCCTGCAGTCCTCCTACCCCATGCTCCAACCATTCGTGTAGAAAAGTCTCAAATTACTTTATTGAAAAAGACTGGTATAAGCTGGGTAGTGGTGGCACACTGCTTTAATCCTAGAACTTAGGAGCCAGCAGCAAGGACAGGCAGATGTCTTGAGTTGAAGCCAGCCTGGTCTACAGAGCAAATTCCAGGATGACCAGGGCTACACCTGTGTTTAAAAGCAAACATAGCTCCCCCAGCTCCTTCTGCAGGGCTGTCTTTCTTACACCCGACCCCCCCCCCCCCCACAAGCCAGTGTTTTCTGCTAGGTCCTCTGCTCAGGAACAGTTTTCTGCTCCTACACTAAGGCGACCCACCCAGAGCGGTGAGTGCCTACCTACCGGGCAGGCCTCAAGGACCCCCGAATGGGAGCCTGGGCACCTTCAGCTTGTGCTCCTGGATCTCGTCCCACCTGCCGGGTTTCTTCCTTTTGTCCCCGGATCATCGGGCTACCAGGTGGCCCTGTTTAGGTACTGAGGAGTTCCATCTGGACAGGCGACCCACCCAAGAGCGGATCTCGCCCGGCCTGCCAGGTTTTTTCCTTTTGTCCCCAGATCATCAGGCTACCAGGCAGCCCTGTTTAGGTACTGAGGAGTTCTATCTGGACGGGTGAGTTTGTGCGATCCAGGGGCGGATTGACCCGGAAGAGACCACAAACCCCACCTCCCCAAGCTCCTTCTGCAGGGCTGTCTTTCTTACACCCGACTTCCCCCCCCCCCCCCCAAGAGCCTGCATTATCTGCTAGGTCCTTCGCTCAGGAACAGTTTTCTGCTCCTACACTAAGGCTACCCACCCAGAGAGGTGAGTGCCTGCCTACCGGGCAGGCCTCAAGGACTGCCCCCCCCCCCCAAAGGGAGCATTCGCACCTTCAGCTTTTGCGGCAGGGTGTCCAGTGTTCTACCCGTCCCCGCCCTGCCCCCGAAGTTCTCCCTTTTGTCCGCTGGTCATTGGACTACCAGACGTCTATGTTTCGGTGCTGAGAAGGTCCATCTGGACTGGATGGTTCCTGCTTCTACACTGAAGAGTTACAACCAGAGAGTCAGTCACAGCAAAGACTGGACCAAGATACCAGGCCTCTCCTGGTTCCATTTGAAGGAAGAGATGGGAAGGCGCCAAGGCAAGAATTCCTCCAACAACCTGAAAGGCAACATGACATCACCAGAATCCAGAGATCCCGAAATAAGAAGAATTGTACACCCTACTCTAGAAGAAATAGAAGAAATCGACTCAAAAGTGAATTATATGAAAATAATAGAAGACCTTAAACAGGAGGTGAAAAACTGCCATAAACAATTAGAGATCACAAACAAAAAGGTAGAGGACATGAATAAAGCGCTCAAATATACCCAAGAAAACCAAGAGAAACAAGAAAAAGCAATCAAACAGGTAAGGGAAGTGGTTCAAGACATGAAAAATGAAATGGAAGGAATGAAGAAAACACAAACCGAGGGAAGGATGGAGATGGAAAATCTGGGTAAACGAACAGGAAATACAGAGACAAGTACTACCAACAGATTACAAGAGATAGAAGAAAGAATTTCAGACACTGAAGATACCATAGAGAAAATAAACACACTGATCAAAAAAAAACAGCAAAGCCAACAAATTCTCATCACAAAACATTCAGGAAAACTGGGACACAATAAAAAGACCAAACCTAAGAATAATTGGGATAGAAAAACGAGAAGAAGTACAGCTCAACGGTCCAGAAAATATATTTAATAAAATTATAGAAGAAAACGTTCCCAGCCTAAAGAAGTAAAAGATCTATTTGACAAGAATTTAAGGCATTGAAGAAAGAAATTGAAGAGGATACCAGAAAATGGAAGGACCTCCCCTGCTCTTGGATTGGGAGGATCAACATAGTAAAAATGGCAATTCTACCAAAGGCAATCTATAGATTCAGTGCAATCCCCATCAAGGTCCCATCAAAATTCTTCACAGATCTTGAGAGGACAATAATCAACTTTATATGGAAAAACAAAAAACCCAGGATAGTCAAAACAATCCTATACAATAAAGGATCTTCTGGAGGCATTACCATCCCTGACTTCAAACTCTATTACAGAGCTACAGTAATGAAAACAGTGTGGTACTGGCATAAAAACAGAGAAGTCGACCAATGGAATCGTATAGAAGACCCGGATTTTAACCCACAAACCTATGAACACCTCATTTTTGATAAAGGAGCTAAAAGTATACAATGGAAGAAAGAAAGCATCTTTAACAAATGGTGCTGGCACAACTGGATATCAACCTGTAGACGAATGAAAATAGACCCATATCTATCACCATGCACAAAACTCAAGTCCAAATGGATTAAAGACCTCAATATCAGTCCGAACACACTGAACCTGATAGAAGAGAAAGTGGGAAGTACCCTACAGGAGATGGGCACAGGAGATCGCTTCCTATGTATAACCCCAGCAGCACAGACATTAAGGGCAACATTGAATAAATGGGACCTACTAAAACTGAGAAGCTTCTGTAAAGCAAAGGACACTGTCACTAAGACACAAAGGCAACCTACTGACTGGGAGAAGATCTTCACCAACCCCGCAACAGACAAAGGTCTGATCTCCAAAATATATAAAGAACTCAAGAAACTAGACTTTAAAATGCTAATTAACCCAATTAAAAAATGGGGCACTGAACTGAACAGAGAATTCTCAACAGAAGAAGTTCAAATGGCTAAAAGACACTTATGGTCATGCTCAACCTCCTTAGCAATCAGGGAAATGCAAATCAAAACAACTTTGAGATATCATCTTACACCTGTCAGAATGGCTAAAATCAAAAACACCAATGATAGCCTTTGCTGGAGAGGCTGTGGAAGAAGGGGTACACTCATCCATTGCTGGTGGGAATGCAATCTTGTGCAACCACTTTGGAAATCAGTGTTTCGGTTTCTCAGGAAATTCGGGATCAACCTACCCCTGGACCCAGCCATACCACTCTTGGGAATATACCCAAGAGATGCCCGATCATATGACAAGAGCATTTGTTCAACTATGTTCATAGCAGTATTATTTGTAATAGCCAGATCCTGGAAACAACCTAGATGTCCTTCAATGGAAGAATGGATGAAGAAAGTGTGGAATATCTACACATTAGAGTACTACGCTGCGGTAAAAAACAATGACTTCTCGAATTTTGCATGCAAATGGATGGAAATAGAAAACACTATCCTGAGTGAGGTAACCCAGACCCAAAAAGATGAATATGGGATGTACTCACTCATAATTGGTTTCTAGCCATAAACAAGGGTCACGGAGTCTACAATTGGTGAACCTAAAGAAGCTAAGTAAGATGGTGAACCCAAGGAAAAACATATAGTTATCCTCTTGCCTATGGGAAGTAGACAAAATTGCCAGGGAGGAAAGTGGGAACTTGGGGGTGGGGTGGTTTGGGGGTAAGGGGAGACGGGGAGAGAAAAGTGAGAAGGGGAGGATGGGGGGAACTTGGGGAAACAGGATGATTGGGATAAAGGAAGGCTGGATAGGGGAGCACGGAAGCACAATTCTTAGTTAAGGGAGCCACCTTAGGGCTGGCAAGAGACTTGAACCTAGAGTGGCTCCCAGATGCCCAAGCCGAGGTCCCCAGTTAGTTCCTTGGGCAGCTGAGGATAGGGAACCTGAAACGACCCTATCCTATAGCAATACTGACGAATATCTTGCATATCACCATAGAACCTTCATCTGGTGAT